TGCTTCCTGGACTGCTCTGGACTTCTGCTGCTCCTCTGCCTCTCTCTTATCTGTATCCTTTGTTAATGCTTCCCCCTCCTCACCCCACCAGGCAAGGAGCAGAGCAGGAGAGCAGCGACCCAGGACCTTGACAGGAGGTGGTGACGGAAGGAAGACATGGCTCTGGGAAGGATCCACAGGCTCCTCAGAGGTGTCTGTGTTGAGATGTGCAGACTTAAAGGTAGATGAAGCACATTCTGGATGTGGCTCCGTCACTCTTGGGCTGGAAAGCTTTGACTGAGGTCCTCACATCAAGGGGGAAATCTTATAAGGGGGGGGGTTCAGTGAGATAAACTATACATGAAAGTGCAGATTTCAAATGCCAGTGACTTAATAGCTATTCCATAAATAAAGTGTTTGTGTAGAGAAGAAAAAAGGGAAGAAGGCTTGGCACATCTCAAATAGCCAGGCTGCCTATCAGGGACTGTCTCACCCTGGGCCCTTGTCTCCACTTTCTGGCTTTTTCTTTTTTTTTTAGTTTTTAAAAATTTAATTTTAATTTTTTAAATCTTTGGCTGCACTGAATCTTTGTTGCTGCACATGGGCTTTCTCTAGTTGCAGCAAGTGGGGGCTGCTCATTGCAATGGCTTCCCTTGCTCCGAGGCATGGGCTCGGGAGTGCGGGCTCAGTAGTTGTGGCACATGGGCTTAGCTGCCCTTCAGCATGTGGAATCCTCCCAGGCCAGACCAGGGGTCCCTACAGTGGAAGCGTGGAGTCTTAGCCACTGGACTGCCTAGGGAGTCCATATTTTGTATTGTTTTGTTTTCGGTCTCCATTCTCTTTTTTTCCCTTTCTTTTTTTGGATTATAGTTGATTTACAGTGTGATAATTTCTGCTGTACAACAAAATGATTCACTTTTACATTTATATATGATATATAATATATATAAAATACACCTTTTAAAAATATTCTTTCCCATTATGGTTCATCATAGAATACTGAATATAGTTCTCTGTGCCATATGTAGGGCCTTGTTGTTTATCTATTCTATATATAATAGCTTACATCTGCTAACCCCGCACCCCATCCCTTCCCAATCCGCTCCCCCTTAGCATTGATCTCAACTTTCTAGCCATCTTCCTCCTGGCCTTGTAGGAGCTCCACCTGCTACAAAGTGCACTCTAGGGAATTTCTCAATGACCTTATTTCATGTGGACCTACAATGATATAGGTATGCCTGGCCAGCTGCGTGGGGCTGAGAGGGGAAGGGTGGGATGATTTGAGTGTGGGGAACATCATGGTATAGGATGAGGAAAGTAAAATAAGACTTTCCTTTGGCCAAAGGCCAAAGCTTTGTGCCTTTCTCTGAGGAATTTCCTAGCACCTGAGGTTCTGTTGACCTGATCTCTAATTTCTTTTGAGGTTCTGCTTTTTTCCTTACAGAGTCCTGTCTCAAGGTGAAGGCAGGCTGGCCTAGCAACCCAACCCTGCCGAAAGTTAGCAATGTCACACCCTCCTTACTGGGGTTGTAGTTTACTATGTAATGATGTTTTCCTAGACTGCTCCCTAGTCCTACTCCAGGTAGGTACAATAAGTTTTATTGTCATAAAATATACTTAACATAAAATTTATCATTTTAAACCATTTTTAAGCGTACAGTTAAGTGGCATTAAGTATATTCACATTGTTATGCAACAATCATCACTACCCATTTCAAGAACTTGTAAAATCTCAATAGGATGAATTGCTATACCCAGTAAGTAATAATTTCCTATTTTTCCCTCTCCCCGGTTTCTGGGAGCCACCATTCTACTTCCTGTCTCTATGAATTTGATTACTCTAGTGGAATCATAAGTAAGGGAGATCATACAGTATTTTTTCCTTTGTGTCTGACTTGTTTCACTTAGCACAATGCCTTCAAGATTCATCCATGTGGTATCATGTGTCAAAATTTCCTCCCTTTTTAAGGCTCAATAATAATCCATTTATGTATCAATGTATACCACATTTTGTTTATCCACTCATCTGTTGATGGACCCTTGGGTTGCTTCCACCTTTTGGCTGTTGTGAATAACGCTGCAATGAACACTAGCATACGAGTTTGTTTGTATCTCTATTTTCTTTTGGGTATATACCTAGGAGGGGCATTTCTGGGTCATATGGTAATTCTCTGTTTAACATTTTGAGGAACCATCAAACTGCTTTTGTTAGCAACTGTACCACCTTACATTCCCACTAGCAATTTATGGGGATTCAAATTTCTCTGTCCTCATTGATGTTTGTTATTTTCAGGGTTTTTTTTTTTTTTTGCTATAGCTAGTTTAATGTGTAAAGTAGTATCGAATTATGGTTTTGATTTGCATTTACCTGATGACTAATGGTCAGAGAAGGCAATGGCACCCCACTCCAGTACTCTTGCCTGGAAAATCCCATGGACTGAGGAGCCTGGTAGGCTGTAGTCCATGAGGTCACTAAGAGTCGGACACGACTGAGCGATTTCACTTTCATGCGCTGGAAAAGGAAATAGCAACCCACTCCAGTGTACTTGCCTGGAGAATCCCAGGGACAGGGGACCCTGGTGGGCTGCCGTCTGTGGGGTCGCACAGAGTCGGACATGACTGAAGTGACTTAGCAGCAGCAATGACTAATGGTATTGAGACTCTTTTCAAGTGCTTAATGGCCACTTGTGCATTTTCTTTGGAGAAATGTCTACTTAAGTCCTTCGCCCATTTTCTAATTGGGTTGGTTGTTTTTTGTTGTGGAATCTTAGAAGTTTTTTATATATCCTGGAATGTTGAATCCTTATGTGGTATATGATTTGCAAATATTTTCTTCCGCTTTGTAGTGTTTTTTTTCCTGTCATGATAGTGCTCTTTGATATACGAACACTCTTAACTTTGATGAAGTCCGATTTGCCTTTTTGTTGTTGTTGTTATTGCGTATGGTTTTGGTGTCACATTTAGGAATCTATTGCCAAATCCAAATATGAAGGCTTACCCTTATGTTATCTTCTATTTTATGGTTTCAGTTGTTATATAATTACCCATGGTGGGTGGGTAAGGGGTGTGTGTGTATGTGTAAAGTCTGTGTGTGTTTAAGGGGTGTGTGTGTACGGGGTGTGTGTGTGTGTTACCCATGGTGGCTGGTAAAAGGTGTGTGTGTGTAAAGGGTATGTGTGTGTAAGGAGTGTGCGTGTACAGGGTGTATGTGTATGGGGTGTGTGTGTATTACCCATGGTGGGTGGGTAAGGAATGTGTGTGTGTGTACGGGGTGTGTATGTGTGTGTGTGTTACCCATGGTGGGTGGGTAAACAGTGTGTGTATGTGTGCATTATCCATGGTGGGTGGATAAACTGTGTATGTGTGTGTGTGTTACCCATGGTGGGTGGGTAAACTGTGTGTATATGTGTGTGTGTGTTACTCATGGTGGGTGGGTAAACTGTGTGTATGTGTGTGTTACCCATGGTGGGTGGGTAAACTGTGTGTGTGTACGTGTGTGTAGGGATAACAGTTCTGGTTTTTGCTCGAGTCTTCGCTTTGTTGAGCACTTAAAGCACTTCATATACTTTATATCACGGTGTTATCCTAATTTAACAAATAAGGGAAGATAGTTTCAAAGAAGTTAATTGAGGCTCAGAAGTTATATGATTTGCCCAAGTTAGACAACCAGTTAGGTAGCCATGTTGGTGCCCCTGGGGTTTTAGTAACGTGCGACTCAACTGCACAGGAAAATAATGACAATTTGAGTAGTAAACAACGACTGTTGAGAGCCTGAGTTCAAGGGATTCCAAACCTGTCTCTCTCTTACTACGACTCCCTGCAACCTCACCCCATCTTCCGCCCACTCCAGCCCTCTTAGGGCTCCCCTGACCGAGACCTAAAGCTTCCATTGGCTGTTGGGTACAGGCCTCACGCTCATACGAGAGGAAGTAGCCAATCAATGTGGCTCGTCTTCGCCCAGCCCTCCCGCGCTAGATCACGTAATCGTTGCCCCTCCTGTGGCATGTCGGGAATTGTAGTCTAGTGACGCATTGCTGCCTATAGTGAAAGGAGGTCGAGAACTACTAGATCCAGCCACCCAAGCGCCGAGCGGTGCAGCTTTTAGGAGTACCCCTCCAACAATCTGGATCTGCAACCGGCATCCAGGAACAGGTGAGAGAGGTCGAGGGCTGGGGCCGGAGGCAGGGGTAGAAACTCGGTCTTAGCTCTGTAGCGCAACTTTAAGGCACAGGAGGTCAAGTCTGTTGTGTCGGTGTTCCCCCGTTTGGGGAGTTGGTGGGACCGACTGGCTGACACCGTGGATGTGCAGAAACTCCCGAACTCTGCCATGTGCTTTCCTGGAATCCCAGTATAACTGCACCCTGCTTTGCTCTTCCGCTGCGAACCCTACCCACCCACCCAGTTTTGCTCCGAGGCTGTCAGCAGTCCTGGCTCTGTGGGGGTCCAGTCCCAGAACCCCAGACTACATGTCCATAGTACCCAGGGGTTCTGCTTTCACATCTCAAAGCCTGCGCTCCCCTCTCCCTGCTTACCGAGGGAGACCTGGGTTCTAGATTTGGCGCTGCCACTCCCCGGGTATCCTCCTACCTCCTAGAGCCTCAGTTTGGCCTCTGTTAAAGAGGGTGATTTAAAGATCCTCCCAGCCCCCGGTCCTGAGGTCCTTTACTCTGAATTCTTCAGTCTGTGCTCCAGAATTTGGAGAAAGAAAGCAAGAGTATAGCAGTTCCAGAGGCTCCCTAGTGGAGGCTTGACGGTTCCTCAACCGGGTAATGTTAAGTGGCTTTGAGTCCTAGCCTTCTTATTTTAAGTGTGATCAGCTGAGTCTCGGTTACCCAGCCGTACTTTTTATTCCCTGTGTTTCTTTCTGTAAGTGCCCTCCAGCTTAGTCCAGAAGAGAGTGGGGCATTTTGGGTACAGAGGTGAAAGGTTGGAGGGTGACTTGGGGAGCTGACAGCGTGCATCTGCCTCTGGTCCTTGCCCCTGCAGGGAGTACTTAATGCCCCCTCCCTATGCCACCCCCCATGCTGCCTCTGTCCCGCTGGCTGAGATCTGTGGGAGTCTTCTTGCTGCCAGCCCCCTGCTGGGTGCCCCGGGACAGGTTGCTGGGTCCCCTGCGGCGACCCACCCTGGGGCACAGGTGCCCAGTCCTGGGGGCCTGGCACAGTGCCCGCTGCTGGTGGCAAGTGTGGACAGAGGAGCCTCGGTGAGTTTGGTAGGGGTGAGGGGCCTTGGGGAGGGGAGCAGCTGATTAGGTTTCTGACTTGTCCTCCCTCTTGTCAGAGCATTTTACTCCTCCCTCAGAATGAATGGAGACCAGAAATTGGATGCTTACGCCCAAGAAAGGCAGGATTTCATCCAGCACTTCTCCCAGATTGTCAAGGTGCTGACTGAGGAGGACATTGGGCACCCAGAGACAGGAGATGCCATTACCCGACTCAAGGAGGTGAGGGATTTACAACTTGAGAGGGTGAATCTTTGCAATCTCTGTGCATGTGTGGGGTCTCTTTCTGGCTCTGGAGTGACTTTTGACAGATGTGGGAACAGACTTTTATCTGAGAGTCCATTCTGGAGGGGGCGGAGCTCGGGCAGGTCCAATCAATCCAGCTTTGTGGTTCTGGTAGGCCAGATATACTGCTTTGCATAGGTGTGGAGGGCCCTGGGGGTGAAGGCCTTGAACCAGGTAAGTCTTTGATTTTGTTGAGACAGGGAATTAGGTGTCCAGAAATCATAAGGGGCTACCTTGGCAGGGACCTGGGAGGAAGGAAGGAGGCAGTCTGAGGTGGGGCTGAGTGAAGCTAGTGTTCCATCAGAAACCCCTCCTCTAGGGCAGGAACTGTTTGTTGAGATACCTAAGTTGCCTTATTCTTCTGGAGTATCTAGTAATTCTTTTTGTAAATGCTGTCTCATTTGTCTGAGGGAAACTAAGGAAAAGAAAGTCTGTACTGGGATGGAGATTAAAAAGCGAAGTCTCTTCCCAATGAATTCCATCTGGTTGACAACAGGGCAGCAGAAGGCAAAAGGAGAAGCCCCAGCAGGAGGTGATGCCATTGAAGGAGTAGCAGATGGTCCCCCCAACCTGAGTCCCCTCCAAGCTGTCCTCTGGCTAACTTGGGGAGGAGGGGGCTTGTCTTAGTTAAGTGAGAGGCTTTTTATTTGCAGATAGGTTGAACTGTGGAAGGGGGCACAGAGGAGGTGGCTGAAGAAAGGAGGAATGGGCTGTGAAGAGGAAGTTAGGAGAACTGGGGATGGGAGAGACCTGAGCTAGCCATTCCCTTGGTATGCACGAGTGTTTTCCCCAGGTTCAAGCCCTGTCTGGGTTTGGGAGCAGATTTTAATCTCCAGTGTGGAGCCTTACAGTGTTCTGAAGAAGACAATGCAGAGAGAGCCTGGGGACTGGGGAACTTCCAGCTGTGCTCTACGACTTGGAAGAAGCCAAGAGAGTAGTAGTTCAGAGGCTGCCTGGAGGAGGGGTTGGGATTGAGGAGGATAAAGTGAGGTTCCCTGGTCGCCAGTGGGAGAAAACAAGGAGAAGTCTCAGAATAGCTGCTCCTGGTACCTTGCCCCTCTGCTCTTTCCCCAGGTCCTGGAGTACAATGCCATTGGAGGCAAGTACAATCGGGGTTTGACGGTGGTGGTAACATTCCGGGAGCTTGTGGAGCCCAGGAAACAAGATGCTGACAGTCTCCAGCGGGCCCTGACTGTGGGCTGGTGTGTGGAACTGGTGAGAAGGATGGGGAACGGCAGGCGAAGACGAGGTTTACTAGAGTGGGGGTGCCCTGGGTGGGGTGGGACAGGAGGGATGGGCCTGAAACTCGGCTTCTCCATTGTTTCTGTGCCCCTGGTGTGCTGGGGCCAAACTTCGGAATAAGGGTTAACAAATGTGGGGAGGCTCTTTTACCAGTAGGTACAGGTTTGACCTGTACTCTAGCAGTGGGCCTGCGCCTTGGAACTGGCCATGAAGTTGTCAGCTCGCTCTTCTGAGCAGAGGACAGCCATGAAAGTGAGATAGTTCTTCTAGAAGATTATCCTATGGCAGAGATTGAAAACTGGAAGCCTATTGGTAGTTTTCGAAAATATTTTAAAATTAAGTTCCCTAAATCTAACAAAAGAAGAGATTTCACATGAAACCCCAGATGTCTTGTATCACATGGGAAATTGCTAGATATGGGTCCAGAGTCCCATATAGCAACAGTTGGCTGAAGTTGAATTGAAGCCGCTTCCCCAAGACTGGAGATGGACTCTCTTGGGTGGGTCTGTCTCTGTTTTGCTCTAGTCCTCCTGTCTCCAAGCTCAGTTGGCTCTTGAAGGTGTATGGTTTGCTGACCTGGCCTAACGAATCCATTTTAGGCTTCCCAGGGGGACTAGGTTCTGGAGTTGGGGGGTGCTAGGCCCTGAGGAGTGGGGAGATGAGCCCAGGAGGGAAGACGCTGTGGCCTAGGTGAATGATGGGTGATCCTGGCCTGCGGCGAGGAGAGGCTGGCCTGCGGCGAGGAGAGGCTGGCCTGCGGGAGGGTGTGATGAGCTCAGCACTGGCCATGCTGCGCTCTTGGTGTGAGCAGATCATGTGGAGCTGTCTGTCCTGCAGGTGGTGGAATTTCCAACCTAGAGCTTGTAAGGGAGATGGGGCTATACAGTAGGGATTTGCCTCCAAGGGGGTAAAAAGATGATGGCCTCACTGAGGATGGGGCCCCTTGTGACAGAGGTGCCCTTCTAGGGATCGGTGGTGCTGAGGGAGCCCATAGCCACAGACAGCAGGCAAGGAGTGAAGGGCAGGAGGATAAGGGCAGAGCTGTGGGGGGCCCAGCAGTTCACTTGGTAAAATTAGTTGTTACTAACCTTAGCTGCACTGTGGGGTTGGGTTGGTTTGTTTTGACCAAACCGTGCTGCTTGTGGGATCTTAGTTTCCTGACGAGGGATGACCTTTGGTCCTGGCAGTGAAAATGCTGAGTCCTGGACTCAGTCGTTACTGGACTTCCATGGAATTCCCATGTTTTCTTAAAAGCAGCTGTACTGTGACCATTTCCCCCAAGATCCCATTTGAGCAGTCCACCACTGTTTTGGATGATTCTTGTTATAATCTCTGCTTTTATCTTCCTTTCACTTCTACCACACCTCCTTCAGCCTCTTACTTTTCTATTTCAGCATTTACCTCCGAAAAACAAGGACATATGCCTATATAACCACAATACCATTTTCACATCTGTCGTAGTCTGTTTGGGCTGCTATAACAAAATAAGATGGTTGGATAACGTCACTGATTCAATGGACATGAACTTGGGCAAACTCTGAGAGGTAGTGAGGGACAAGGAGGCCTGGCGTGCTGCAATCCATGGGGCTGCAAAGAGTCGGACACGACAAAATACCAGTGACTGGGTAACTTATAAACAACAGAAATTTATCTCTTACAGCTCTGAAGGCTGGGATGTCCAAGATTAAGGCACCCGCATGACTGGGTCTTACCAGGAGTCAGACTTCTTTTCCTGATTCATAGCCAGCATCTTCTTGCTATGTCCTCAAGTGGAAGGGGCAAGGGAGCTCTTGGAGGTCTCCTTCATAAGGGCACTAATCCCTTGCATGAGACTTTCACCCTCATGATCTGAGCACCTCCCAAAGGGTCCACCTTCTAATACCGTTATCTTTGAAGGTTAGGATTTCAACATAGGAATTTTGGGGGGAAGCATTCAAATCAGAGCAACAGCCATGATAGTTAACATTGATATTAGAATATTATCTAACATATATTCCATATTTAAATATTCATAATTATTCCCCAATTGTCTACTATAAGGTTTTTTTTTTTTTTTTAAACATCTCAGATCCAAGCAGAAGTGATGCATTGCATTTGTTAGTTTTTCTTCAGTCTTTAGAAACTTCCTCCATCATAATGGACTTTTTAAAAGTCTAGGCTGATTATTTGATAGAGTGGCTCACAGCCCAGTCTGATTAGTATCTAGAGGAAATAGGCAGGGTAGACATTTTGGTAAGGATGCAGTATGGGTAATGTGGTATGTTTCTCCTTACTTCCCACTGTTAACGCATACCTGGGGAGATTACTAAAAAAACCCAACCCAGTACTGTGGTAAAATCCCTGTAGATTTAATGTTTTCCTAATAAATAGAAAGTGCGATTGAGGGGCAGAGGAGATTGAGGGAGGCTAAGGAATGAGTGCCCTTCAGAGACGATCCTGGTTGAGTGGTGCTGGTTGAAACCAGCTGGCCCTTGCAGCCACTCGGGAGGCAGTGGGGCCATGGCTTCAGGGAACAGTGCCACTCCACATGGACACATTGGAAATAAAGTGTGTGCCCCACTGTGGAGAGCCCAGGCCCCACTCGAGGGCGAGGTCAGAGGGAAAGGTGCAGATGGAGGCCTCCTTCCCCGGGGACTTGGCCTGGAATGACAACAGCCCTGTCTGCACTGTACACAGCTGAGCTGGTGGCTAGTGGTGGGTACTTCTCTGGGCCATGCAGATCCACTGGGACACACACAGGGATCAGGGTGGGGTGAAGGTTTATAAACTGTGTCCTCAAGGAATTCCTATCAGTGGTTCAGTGCTTAGGGCGCAGCACTTTCACTACTCAAGTAGGGCCCAGATTCAGTCCCTGGTCGAGGAACTAAGATCCCACAAGCCATGTGGTGCAGCCAAAAAGAAAGAAAACAACAACAAACTATGTCTTCACAAGCTGTCTGAGGGAGCCAGAATGTGTAGCCTGGGTGCTAGAAGTATCCCCGGGAGAAGTTACGGTGTTCATTCTCTCATGTATTTCTTAGACAAACATTTATGGACCAGCACTGTGCTGGGCTTTGCGAATGCCATGCAGTCACATATTTCGTCCCTGCCTCAAGGTAGCTCACAGTCCTGCAGGGAGCCAGCATAGCCTGGTACTTCCCAGTAGGCTAGCACTCAGAAGAGGGAGCCTTTTGAAGATGTTTAAGAGCCATGGGTGAAAGTTACCAGGAGTCAGACTTCAGTTCCACGCTATTAGACCCAGGCTCCAAAATGAGCTTCCTGAGGTGGGGTTTTGTTCCTGTCTGCTGGAGTGGCTAAGCAGTGCCCGGAGAGAATGCAGGAACTGGTCTTTCTTGTTCCTGAAGTCCTGTAAAGTCACGCTGCATGAAGAAATCTTGCTTGAAACCCTCCCCGAAGCCTTTGGCCAGGGAGGAGTACAGTATATGAAGATATTTCATCATCTCCCTGATACCAGGGATTGTCTGGAGATCTGTTATGTCTCTTACTCTGAAAACAAGGGAGTTTTTTTGTCCCTTTTTATAGTTGGGAAGCCTGAGCCAAAGAAGTCATACAAGTTTCCCAAGTCTTACAGCTTGGATTAAAAGTCCTCAGTGAACTTCCCTGGCAGTGCAGTGGTTGAGATTTCATGCTCTCAATGCAGGGGGCATGGGTTCAATCCCTGGTCAGGGAACTAGGATCCCACAGGCCACACAATGAGGCCAAAAAAAAGCAGTCCTTGTCCTCATTCTGACCGACCTTCCCTGTTCAGTGATTCTTAAAAGCAGCATCTCTGTTGCTGGTAGAAGGAACAATCATAAGGAGCCCTGGGACTCATTTCCACTTTCCATCCTCCTAGCTCCAAGCCTTCTTCCTGGTGTCAGATGACATTATGGACTCAGCCCTCACCCGACGGGGGCAGACCTGCTGGTATCAGAAGGTAAGTGGGTGGGAAGGTAGCAGTGGGCATGGCAACAGACTACTGGGAAAGGGTCACATGGAGCCTATGGAGGAGGTGTTACAGGTTCTTGGTGTGAGTCTAGGCCAGAAGTTGATTGCTTGTTTTTCTGTGTCCCTGACAGCCAGGCATAGGTTTGGATGCCATCAATGATGCTTTCCTTCTGGAATCATGCCTCTACCGCCTGTTGAAACTGTACTGTCGGGAGCAGCCCTATTACTTGGACCTGATTGAGCTCTTCCTGCAGGTGCGCTGCAGACTAGGGCTCCCGCATGGCCTTGGCCTCTATGGGACATTCTTGTCCAGATATGCCATGCTCACTGTCCTCTATGGGACATTCTTGTTTTAGGGTGATACCCAGATTTGCCTGGAAGGGAAGTAATTGAGGGGAGGGGGTTGGGGCAGGTGGTGGGACAGCTTCCCTGTGTCTGTGTGATTGAAAGGAGTGGTAAAGGGCATGTGTGTGACTGTGTGGGCCTTGAGTTCAGGAGCCCTCTCTTCCTCCTGCCTTTCTGACCACCCAATTATCAACTGCTATGGGACGTAGGGCCCAAGATTTCAGAGTTCTCCCACCCTGGAGAAAGCCCAGTTCACAGGCCATCTTCCTGCTCCTTAGAGTTCTTATCAAACTGAGATTGGGCAGACCTTGGACCTCATCACAGCCCCCCAGCACAACGTGGATCTTGGCAGATTCACAGAAAAGAGGTGAAGGACCATGGGAACCATATCTGGACAGTGAGAGGGAGGGCTGGGGGTTGCATAACCCTTCTAAGGAGTTTCTTTTCTCCCTGCACTCAGGTATAAGTCTATCGTCAAGTACAAGACAGCTTTCTACTCCTTTTACCTTCCTGTGGCTGCTGCCATGTATATGGTGAGTGAGCCTCTTCATCCCTTGCTGCCCTGCTCATGTGGGCCTTTCAATAAGGAGGCCACGGAGCAGACATGCCCCCACTATGAATGGCTGAGTGATCTTGAGCAAGTTACTTAATCTTGCTGAGCCTGTTTCCTTAGCTATAAAATAAGGATAAAATCCCCACCTGTGGGACTAATTATGAAAAGAACTGAGTGGTTTACATGAAAGTGGACAGCCCATCTAGGGGGAACAATGAATTCTCCATCTGTGTACAGTAGTAGGAGTGGGGAGGAGATAATTCAGGCTGAGGGAGAAGACTAGATTCAAAGGCAATCATTGGGATTAACTATCTATGCTGACCTTCTCCAAGTTTCCTTTCCATAGTGAAAGAATTTGGATATGGTAAAAAGATTAGGAAGCAGGATCAGAGTGACTCAGAGACTGAGCCTTGTGAGAGAAGAGTCTGAGGGCCTCCAGAATGGACTTACCTCTGCTGTGACTTACAAGAAGACCCATAGCTAAAATCAGTGGGATAGAAGGTGAACCGTCAGCCAGGACTTCCTTTATCAGGGAAGCCAAGGATGTCTGAAAGGAGAGAAGACTTGGGGGGCTGTACCGGGGCAAGACCCTCTTCGTGGGAGGAAGCAGCCAGGAAGATGCAGGCACCTCTGGTGTATGACTTGTTAACCCCCTTTTCACTGTAGGCGGGCATTGATGGAGAGAAGGAGCATGCCAATGCCAAGAAGATCCTGCTGGAGATGGGAGAGTTCTTTCAGATTCAGGTAGGAAGGCATGGGGCACTGGCAGGAAACAGGCTCCAGCTTTGCTCTTTCCCTGCCTTACAGCCTCTTCATTCCTCCTTTTCTGCACCCCGTCTGCCCAGGATGATTACCTTGATATCTTTGGGGACCCCAGCGTGATGGGTAAGATCGGCACAGACATCCAGGACAACAAGTGCAGCTGGCTGGTGGTTCAGTGTCTGCAGCGGGCCTCTCCAGAACAGCGCCAAATCCTGCAGGTGCCCTAGGGTGTGCTGTGGACCCCCAAGCTGTGGAGTAGGGAAAAGAGCAGTGGTTTTTCAGTGGGGGTGATTTGCCACACACACCCACCCTGGCATTTGACAGTGTCAGGAGACATTTTTTTTTTGTCATCATAACTTGGTGTGTGTGTGTGTGTGTGTGCCTATGCCACTGGGATCCCTGGTGGGCAGAAGCCAGAGATGCTGCCAAATACCACACATACAGTAGCTTCCCACAAAGAACTATCTGCCAGAAATTTCAAATGGGCCAAGGGTTGAGAAACCCTGGGGTAGAGGAAGCTGAGGCGTGAACCCCACTGACTGAGCATTTGGTATGGCAGGGGGTGGGGTGGGGGGGGGAGTGGGGAGTTCGAGATCTTAGTTACTCAGAGACCCTTGAAACTGGAGGCAGGAATGGAATGAATGAATGAATGGTATTGGAGAGGTTCTGGAATACCTGGATGGGGGAGTGGAGGGGACCTAGAGGTGCTGGGGGATGGCTAATAAGCCTGTTTTCCTACCCCCGACCCTTCAGGAGAACTATGGGCAGAAGGAGGCTGAGAAGGTGGCCCGGGTGAAGGCACTCTACGAGGAGATGAATCTGTCGGCTGTGTACAGGCAATACGAGGAAGACAGTTACAGCCACATTATGGGTCTCATCGAGCAGTATGCTGCGCCCCTGCCCCCAGCTATTTTCCTGGGGTTAGCACAAAAGATCTACAAGCGGAAAAAGTGACCTAGAGTCTGTGAAGGTGGGGAAGGGAGGCTTCTCAATAAATTATTGTCTAACCTGTGGTTCTTCCGTTTCTGCTTGTGTCAGCCAGGGGCGCAGCTTTGTCCAGTATGGGCAGGGTGGGGGCCAGTTGCATGGAAGCCAGAACCTCAGGCTTTGGTTTCAAGACCCCTTTGGGACTGAAAGGCCCTGCAGTGGGACCTTAGGATGCATCAAAAGCCATTGAGCTGGGCCTGGGTGGGTGACACAGGCAAAAGCGTCAATCGCTGGGGGCTGGGTCTGGGACTCGCCACGCCCATGCGTGAAGGGGCGCGGCTGCGCAGCGCCGGCGGGTCATCCCAGCGCCCCTCCCCTCCAGTCTGTGCGGGCTGGGCGGGGACCGCAGCCGCGGAGCCCAACGCGGCTCCAGACGCCGGAGCGGCTGCAGGAAGACCCTGGTGAGGATGGCTTGGCCTTCGGGTGTGGATGGATGGATTGGGGCTCGCGGGGTGGGGCAGGAGAGGGGAGCAGTAAAAAACGAACAGAGAAGGGGTGGGGTGGAGCTGCACCATACAGACAAGTGCAGAGAGAATGGGACAGACATGCTGGTGTTCGCAGCAGGGTGAAGGTGCACCGCGGCTGTAGGCTGGAGCCTGGAGCCCGGACCCGAGGTCCGTGCCGGCCGGCCTGCCCGGTGGAGTAGACAGGCTGACGGTTGCTCCTGCAGCTCGGTCTTTTCCCCAACGCCTGCCCCTTTCATGCTTCAACCAGCCGGACGCACCTCCCCCCGCCCCATTTCAGATCATCTGGGCGGGGCCTCTCGACCCCTTCCCCTGGGAGTGAGGGGCAGGGCCAGATTGCAGCAGAGAGCACCCAGGGGTCCCTTTTGGGCCCCAACCTTTTACAAGCCTCCGCACCTCCAAGGAGATCGAGGGCGCAGCCGCATTCTCTGACCCTCCCCGCCCCATTCTCGGGGGGGGCGGGCGGGGTGGGGGGGTTACATTCGACTCCACCTGCAAACACTGCAGCGGAAACTAATAGCCATTCGATGTCTATTTGCATCTCATTTAAATATTGTCCGAGGCGCCCTTCCACGCCTGCCCCAGCACCTAAGTCACCTTGGTGTCCTTCCCGCGGCCCGCACCCTCGCTGGCTGGGTTTCACTATCCCTCTCTTCTAGGGCTGCATCTGCGGTTGCCAGGCAAGTGGATGTGAGAGGCCTGATCCTCCTTATTCTCTAGAGGCCATCCTGTCGCCGCCGGCACTATGCTGTCCCCTCAGAGGGCTTTACTCTGCAACCTCAACCACATCCACCTCCAGCATGTCTCTCTAGGCTTGCATTTGTCCCGCCGTCCGGAGCTCCAGGAGGGGCCCTTGAGCACATCCCCGCCCCCAGGGGACACTGGGGGCAAGGAGAGCCGGGGCCCCTGCAGTGGGACCTTGGTGGACGCCAATTCCAACAGCCCAGCCGTGCCCTGCCGATGTTGCCAGGAGCATGGGCCAGGCCTAGAAAACCGGCAGGACCTAGCACAGGAGGAGGAGGGGGCTGCCTCTCCCTCAGACCCGGGCTGTTCCTCCTCTCTCAGCTCCTGCTCAGATCTTAGCCCCGATGAGTCCCCCATCTCAGTCTACTCCAGGGACCTCCCTGGCAACGAGGATGTCCACCCTCAGCCCAGCATCGTTCCCCTGGAGCAAGGCTCCCCCCTGGCTTCTGCAGGCCCCGGCACCTGCTCCCCAGACAGCTTTTGTTGCTCTCCGGATTCCTGCTCTGAAGCTTCCTCTCCATCCGGTCCAGGCCTGGACTCCAATTGTAATGCCCTGACCACTGGCCAGGACCTCCTTTCCCCAGGGCTAGAGGAAGAGGAGGAGGCCGAGGAGCAGGACCTCCCTACCTCTGACCTCCCAGAGGCTGATGATGAGAAAATCGATGCTGGGAAAACCGAACCCAGTTGGAAAATCAACCCCATTTGGAAAATTGACAAAGAGACAACTGATGCTAGCTGGAAAATCACTGAGAACAATAACTCCGGTTGGAAAGTCAATGGGAATACTATTGAATGTTGGAAAACTGAACCTGGAAAATTCGACTCCAGTTGGAAAACCAATACAGGAATAACTGATTCTGGTTCGAAAACTGATGCAGGGAAAATTGATGGGGGATGGAGAAGTGACGTCAGCGAGGAGCCGGTGCCCCACCGGACAATCACGTCCTTCCACGAGCTGGCCCAGAAGCGCAAGCGGGGCCCAGGGCTGCCCCTCGTGCCGCAGGCCAAGAAAGACCGCAGTGACTGGCTCATCGTCTTCTCTCCGGACACCGAGCTGCCCCCCACAGGGTCGCTCGGCAGCTCCCAGGCGCCTCCCCGGGAAGTCACCACCTTCAAGGAACTCCGGTCCCGAAGCCGGGCTCCGCCCCCGCCAGTCCCGCCCCGAGACCCCCCAGCTGGCTGGGCCTTGGTCCCACCTCGGCCCCCACCGCCACCCGTCCCGCCCCGGAGGAAGAAGAACCGACCTGGGCTGCAGCCCATAGCAGAGAGGCAGCCCGAGGAGGGCAGGGCGGGCAGCCCAGCTGCTGGTGAGGAGGCCCCAGCTTCAAAGGAGCCGGAGCAGCCAGGTCCTCAGGCTGGCACTGAAGGTAGGTGGCCATAGGAGGTGGCGAGAGGAGGGCTGGCCCTCGGCCTCCCCACACCTCCAAAGCTTCCGACCCGACCCCCTGTCTCCCCTCCATTCTGTGTGACCCATCCCACCCATCCTTCCCGTCCCCTGCTACCGGGAGCGCTCCGGGAAAGGGAAACTGGGTGGGTCCTTGGGTTACGGGACTAACTCTTTGCTCCCTCTTTCTCCCGCCCCTCCTTGCCTGGCTGCCCATCCCGCTGGCCTCCTTCCCCTCCGCATCTGCCCCGCCAATCCCGCCTGCAGCCGGTCCCCTCCTGCTCCCTCGGCCCCTGGTTTTTCGGTTCTCGGCTGACGGGCGCCCCCTGTTGCAGGGTGGGAGCGCGGCCGCAGCTGGGTCTTTGCTCCTGGCACCTCTGGCCAGCTGGCCAGGCGCTGGGCTGCGGCTCCTGGGGGCACCGAGTACCCCGGAGGAGCAGCTGCTGCCCGTCCGCCTGTCCCCGGTGGGGGCCTATTCGCCTCCGGCTAGGGGGCACCTTCCCTGCCTGGCCAGCCCTGAGCTGGCACTGCTGCTGTCCCCGCTCTTTCCCAGAAGTAGCACCTTCCCCCCCGTGGCTTCCCCACCCCGCCAGGTACCCGCCCCCCCGCTGCCACGGCCACCTCGTCCGCCGAAGTCCCCTCGCTGGACCAGGAGCCCACCGCCTCCGCCCAGGCTACGTAAGACGGATGGGGTCCAGACCCGCGGGCCACGCCTCAGGCGGGGCTGCCCCGCCCACTCCAAAGCCCCACCCATCCTCGGCCAGACCTTTGCTTTAGATTTTTCCCGGTTACCCGGCTGGGTCCAGCCCTTCGACCTGGGTGATTCCAAGATCATTGGTCCTGGGGAGTCTGGCCTTGCCAACTCCCCGTGCTGGGCGAAGTTTGCTGCTTTCCCAGCTGCGTGGCCGGGACATAGTGGATACAGGCTTAGCCGGCTTCCACACACAGCTTAAGGGGGTCCCAGCAAGTCCATTGTTAAGGACCTTGGGTCACAGCCTCTGTGGAATTCCCTGGCCAGTGCAGTTCGAGCCTGACTCCTACCTTGTACGGGAAGGGAGAAGGGTGAAGTTCGCTCAGCTCATTGGCCGAAGGGGATTCTGGTCACTCCTTCCCCTTGGGACCAGCCCCAGTGGGTTGCAGCGAGGGGCCCTCTGCCTAGCTGGCGCAGGACCCAGGTTTCCCTTTCCGGAGCCTTCCAGCCTCCCAATCTTTGGGTCTGCTCTCCCTGCGTCTCTCCTCCCATTCCCGTCTGTCTGTCTTTCCATTGGTCCAGGCTCCCCACGTGCTCCCTGGGTCCCCGCGGACCTGACGTCCCCCACTCCCCCGCCACCTTCCGCCAGGGTGTGGGGGGAGTGGCGGGCACAAGGCTGCCCCCTCCCTCCCCTGCCCTGTCATCTCCCGCCTTTCAGGGCCCAGCCTGGCAGGCGGGAGGGAGGTGAGCACGGCTGCCCCACCCTGGGACTTCCGGGATCGAGGAGTGGGAGCTGGGCCGTGAGGAAGGGAAATGGAAACCAAGAAGTGGGGAGCAGGGCGGCAGTACTGAGATACAAGCAGGCTTCCACTCCGGGAGCTGCCCTGTGCTCCCCGCAGCCCTAGGCTCCCTTTCCCAAGACTTCAGGGGCTGGGGTGTTTAGACCCATAGGAGATGACCCTTGCGAAAGCCTGGAGTCCTTGGGGGTGACCCCTGGTGTCAGTGCGTTCTTGCTTTATCCCAGTCCGTAGTTCCTGGTCGTTCGCCGGCGTCCCCGGGGCCCAGCGACTGTGGATGGCAGAAGCCCAGAGTGGGACTGGCCAGCTGCAGGAGCAAAAAAAAGGTAGGACACCCTGACTTTTGACCCTTGGTTTGGAAATCAACTTCCCCTCACTTAGGCCCTCCTCTCTCAGGGTCAAATTGTGTGAACTGTCCTCTCCGAGTCCCTCGCGGTTTGCCTGGGGAGGGACAAGGGGCTTTGAGGCTTCTTTCTCTTTCCCCGCCCCCGCTCCCAGGTCTCCTGATAGCTGTTAGTGCTTCAGTCGATAAAATCATCTCGCACTTTGGGGCCGCCCGGAACTTGGTTCAGAAGGTGAAGGTGCCTGTAGGGAGGGTGCTGGGGGGTGAGGAGGGGCATGTAGCTCTGAGGGCGCAGGGGAAGGCTGGAGGTATCCCTGGGCCCATGCCCATTTCGCCGCCTCCAGGCCCAGTTGGGGGATAGCCGTCTGAGCCCAGACGTGGGGCACCTGGTGCTGACCACCCTCTGTCCGGCCCTCCATGCCCTGGTGGCCGACGGGCTGAAGCCTTTCCGGAAAGACCTCATCACTGGGCAGCGGCGGAGCAGCCCCTGGAGTGTGGTGGAGGCGTCTGTGAAGCCAGGTGAAGGGGGCGAGTGTGGGACTGGGCGGGGGGCAGGGCTGGGGTCTGGCTGACAGCGCCCTGTGTCCTCAGGCTCCAGCACTCGTTCCCTCGGCACCCTCTATAGCCAGGTCAGCCGTCTGGCCCCGCTGAGAAGCAGCCGTAGCCGCTTCCACGCCTTCATCCTGGGCCTCCTCAAGTGAGTGGCCTTCTTTCTGGTGTCCCTCCCACAGCCTGGGGACTGCAGGGGTGTCCTGGGTGGGACATATGGTGGGTGTCCCATGTCCCCAGAGAAGGCCTTCCCTGTCCTAGTCTTATTTCCCATCCTCCACCCACAGGGGGCTGGTGTCCCTGACTTCTATTCCCTCCTCTCTCCCCCAGCACTAAGCAGTTGGAGCTGTGGTTTTCCAGTCTCCAGGAAGATGCAGGTCAGAGGCTCAAATGGGAGAGGATGGGCTTGCTAGACTAGGGAAAGTGGGAAAAGGGATCTCTTCTGATGGTTCCTCCTGATGCCAGAATGCTCTTGATCCAGATCTCCAATCTTACTACTCTTCTGTTTGGAACTCTTTTTGAGAAATTAATTTATTATTTATTTAGTTGCATTGGGTGTTCATTGTTTTGTGCTGCTTTCTCTAGTTACAGCAAGTGGGGGCTATGCTTCATTGCTGTGAGTGGGCTTCTCATTGTGGTGGCTTCTCTTGTTGCAGAGCACAGGCTCTAGGGTGCTTGGGCTTTAGTAGTTGCGACACATGGGTTTATCTACTCCGCGGCATGTGGAATCTTCCCAGACCGGGGATCGAACCTGTGTCCCCTGCATTGGCAGGTGGATTCTTATCCGCTGCACCACCAGGAATGTCCTGCTTAGAACTCTTTTAAGGAGTCTTATTAATAGGAGTAATGACCCTAATCCTCACTATAACCTTCAAAGATTTGATTATCTGGCCTTTGCCTTCAGGTCTGGGGCTTTCCCTGGTCAACAGTCTCCTTTTCCGTTCTTCCTGCCCCAGAGCCCTACTTTTGCTGTGCCTCCTCCTTGAGTAGGGCTTCCTGCTCCTCCTGCCTCCTCATTAACTTTCATTCATCCTTTGGGTCCTTCTTCAGTGAAGCTCCATCCCCATTCCCTACCCCACTCACCCATTTTGCTCCCATGGCCCTCAAGTCCTCCTTTTTGTTACTTATATACTTGCCACTGGGCATCCCAAGTGGCACTAGAGGTAAAGAATCTGCCTGCCAATGCAGGAGCCCCAGGAGATGATTTGATCCCTGGGTTGGGAAGATCCCCTGGAGGAGGGGACAACAATCCACTCCAGTATTCTTGCCTGGAGAATCATGGACAGAGGAGCCTGGCTGGCTACGGTCCATGGAGTTGCAAAGGGCACGACTGAATCGATGCAGCCTGCATGCTTACTTGTTGCCACACCCCTCTCTAGGCGGTGGTTCCACAGCAGGGATGTGGCAGCCCTGTATCCTGCTGAGTTCCCCTCTCTCTGCCCCAGTGCCCAGTTAGAGCGAGGCCCAGGAGGGTGTTTGTTGACTGGCCAGCTCAAGCCCTTGGACGAGGCCCAGAGCAGGGGCTGATGTTAGCCTGCTCTTTCCCAGGCCTGCTGTCCCTCCTGTACCTGCCCACTGGTTTCTTCTCCCTGGCCCGGGCTGGCTGCCCCTCCTTGTCCACGGAGCTGCTGCTCCTGCTGCAGCCATTGTCGGTGCTCACCTTCCACCTGGACCTGCTCTTTGAACACCACCACCACCTGCCCCTGGGACCGCCTCAGGCCCCACCGCCCCCAGGCTCACCTCCAGCCCTGCAGCAGACTGTGCAAGCCGTGCTGCACTGGGGGGGTCGGCTGGCCCAGAGCCTCCGGGGGGCTTCTGGGGAGGCCCCTCCAGGCCCTTCGGCCCCCTCAAGCTCTCCCAGCCCCTGCAGCTGGTGGGAGCAGCTGACCCAGGCCTCCCGGGTCTATGCGTCCGGCAGCACCGAGGGCTTGCCTCTTCCCCGGTGGGGATCCAGGCGCACCCGGCCTGCAGCTGAGGCCGCACCGGAGAGGTCCCTGCACACGGAGGAAGCAGCACCAGGCCGAGGCGTATGGCTGGGGAGACTGTTTGGAGTGCCTGGGGGCCTCGCAGAAACTGAGAGTGGAGCCCCAAAGTCCAGGTAATGGGGTCCCTGGCCCCCTCCATGACCTCTGACCCCGTCTCAGAGCCCTCAGTCAGCCCAATTTGTTTGTTTTTGGTGCACTGGGTGCTGGCAGGATCCTGACCAGGGATTGCGCTCAGGCCCTGGCAGTGAAAGCAGAGTCCTAACCTTTGGACCACCAGGGAACTCCCTCAGTCACTCTTAATTTGAAACTCAGTAGGGATCCTTTGGGTCTGACAGCCTGACTTTTCTACAGCCATGATGGTTATATTCTTAAGTCATGAACTTTTTAACAGTTATTAAATACCTGCATGATATTGTCCATTTTTCCTCTTGGCTCTCAAAGCCAAAAGTACTTTCTGGCTCTTTAGAAAAAACAGAAATATTTGCAGACTCCTGCTCCAGGGTTTGACCATTGGTGCCTCCTTAATGGGGTCAGGTACTCTTTAGCGACCCTCTGGAGCTAAGCCTGCTGGTTCCGTAGGTCCCTTTGTGGCTTTTGGTATGGTAGACCTTCATTGTTACCTCCCTAATCACCTTAAAGGTAACTGTGTTCCATGCCTGCCAACTCTGCCCTCAGCAGTGACCAACTCCTGACCTCTTGAACTGCAGTTGGGTCCCTCAGCCTCTCCCTCCCTCCAAAGTCCCAGATACTTGGTTCTTTCTATGGAGGTGGGGTGACCTCTGTGATCCTGCATCCTTTCCTCCAGGAGACCATCCAGCTGGTTGCCTCCGACAGTGAGTGTGTTGGCTCTGGTGAAGCGGGCGGCACCTCCTGAGGCTCCCTCATCTCCTAAGGAGCTTGAGGTCTCAGAACCCAGCACGGCGCAGACCCACAGGTAAGGAGGGTCAGGGAGAAAGCACTGGTGCGCACATGTTATGTTCCATGTGTGGGTTTTTCTGACTTCACAATGTGGATGGGAGGTGATGTAAAGTCAGACACTGCTTGGTTTGCATTGCATTTTTGCTGTTTATTATTAGTGTGATACTAGTTTCTCTGAACCTTTAGTTTCTTTTTCTGTAAAAAGATACTTTATATTTTTCTTATGGTTGTTGTGAAGACTAAACGTGATTTTATAAAGGCATTAGTCACATAAAAGATGTCCAGTTACCGGTCAGTTTTATTACTGTATGAGTGTATGAATGAACGCGTGTGTGTCCCCTGGGGGAACTGGGCTTTCCTTTAGTGGGGCCTTCTAATTTGGCACCAGGGGCTGTGTCATCTTTAGGGTCTGGCTTCTTTTAGGTTCTCAATCCATTGAATTTGGCTTCTTTTTTTTTGGCTGTTCTGGGTCTTCGTTGCTGCTCGGGCTTCTCTCTAGTTGTGGCGAGCTGGGGCTACTCTCTAGTTGTGGTGCACAGGCTTCTCAACGCCCTGGCTTCTCTTGTTGTGGAGCACGGGCTCTAGGATGCAACAGCTTCAGTAGTTGTGACTCCTGGGCTCTAGAGCACAGGCTCAAAAGTTGTGGTGCATGGGCTTAGCTGCTCCGTGGCATGAGGGATCTCCTCGGATCAGGGATGGAAAGCATCAAAAAGGATGCATTGGCAGGTGGACTCTTTACCACTGAGTCATCAGGGAAGCCCCTGAATCAGGTTTCTTGATCTTCCATTCAAGTACTTTTCAAGGACATACTATGTGCTTAGCATTATACTGGAGGAGGGAATGCAAAGGGAAATCTGTTGGAATCTCTGCCCTCAAGAAGCTTATAGTCCAGTGGGGATACCAGTTAATAAATGAGCGCTTACAATTTTGTGTGCTAAAGACTCTGGAGAAGGAAGATAGTCCTTTGAAGCCATACAGACAGGGCTTCTTCCCCAGGTCTGGGGACTCAGAGAAGCCTAGTGATGGTGTGGGCTATGCATCTTGCAGAAAGAACAGGATGCAAAGGTGGAGAAGTCAAAGTGTGGTAAGTGAGGAACTACGAGTACATGATTGGTTGTGGCTGGAGTGAAGGATCCTGGCAGTGGTGATGGGGAGGTCAGAGGTGTCAGTAGACCAGTGAAGGAAGCTGGGTATCACTCCAAGGCAGTGGGTGCCATTAAAGGGTCTTAAGCCCAGGGATGATAAGTTTTAGAAGGATCTCTACTGCTGTGTGGAGAATGGAGAGGGTGGTCAGGATTCAGGCAGACCAGTTAAGATTATATGCCAGTGGTCCAGAGAGTACAGAGGCCTAAACTAAGACAATGGCAGTGAAGCTGAAGATAAATGGAGTGGTGGGAGAAACCAACATCAAACAGGTTTTGGTGATTGATTGGATGTAGAGACTGAGATCCCTTGTTTTTTTTACTAGGAGTAACTGTATAGGTGATGCCATTTACCACTATAGGAGATGTAAGAGGAGGGACTAGTTTGGAAAGTTAAAATGAGTCATTTAGTTTGTGTATGTTGAATATGAAGCACCAGAGAAGTGCCAATTACAATAAGGAGCTAAAGAGTGGGTCTGGAGCTTAGGAGAGGGCTGGGGCCCCAAACAAATCAACATGTTGAAGAGACATGGTCCCCGTGTCTCTCCCAGAGCCCAGCTGATGTCTACTGAGCTGAACCAACAGGGACATACATACCTCGGAGGTGGGGAGGTGAGGCTGGCGACAGGCACCCCCACCTCACTTCATCCCAGCATCTCCCTCTGGCTCCTCACAGGGCAGTCCGGGCTCTCTGTGACCACACTGCTGCAGGACCTGACCAGCTGAGCTTCCAGCGAGGGGAAGTGCTGCGTGTCATCACCACTGTGGATGAGGACTGGCTCCGCTGTGGGAGGGATGGAGCGGAGGGACTGGTACCCGTGGGGTATACCTCCCTTGTTCTCTAGGCCTAGCACCTTTTCCTTTCCTGCATCTCTCCCTCTGTCACCTGGGAATGGAATGGCCTGTGAATACTCACCCATGTATACTGACTGTCCCCAAAGTACTTTCCCTGTCTGCAAAATGACACTTTCTTCCCATAGCATTTCTGCTAATATCTAAAATAAACTTTCTTCCTTCCCTCCCATACCCATCTATAAGGTAAAATCTGCTCTTCCAAAATATATAAAAAGGAATTTCCCTCCACGCCATCTCTTTCCAATCTCTATTCTGCAAAATGGAAATCCAGTCCCCCCTCTATCTTCTTCCTCCGTAAGTGGACTGCACCTCTATATATGCCTCAGTTCCCAAGACTTGAAGGGCCTCAGTTCCCAAGACTTGAAGGGCCTCTATACCTTCTTCCTGTGTATGGAACCTTCCCCATCTCACCCATCCCACGTTGCCTGTATTTATGATGTACTCATGCTGGACTAGGTGCTGAAGTCTGGACACCCCTGGTGGGGGAGCCTGTGGTGTTGGTCTGTCTCCTTCCTCCTTTGTCCCAATAAAGAGTGGGAGTTGAATGTGTCTGTCACTGTGGGTTTCAGGACATAGGCTATGGGGGAGGGGAGGGAGGCTGTGTCATGGGGAAGCCAAGGGAGATGCTTCCTTCCTAGCTGGGTCTAGTTCTACTCCTTGAAAGGTAGCCCCTGATTGGTGCCTGCTCACTGAAATGCATCTCTAGTCTGAGACTTGATTGCTTTGCTTAGACTGATATAGTAGGAGCCTCGGTAGATATGGGAGAGCTGGCAGACAGTCCCTGAAATTGTACTTACAGGCTTCATAGCTGAGGTGATGGGAAAGATTAAAAGGTGTTAAAAAGGGACACTTTTTTTTTCTCTATTTATTATCGCCATTCTGCAGTGATATAATTTTAGGAAAAAGCATAATAACTTGATGTCTATTACTTTCTTAGGAGTTAATGAGTTTCCTTTCAGTCTTCTGAAATGAGAATAGCTAAATGCTCTAGAGCCTGGAGGATGGGGGTGGAAATCACTACAAATGATTGCCTACAGGAGAATTACTAAAAGGTTAGAAGAATAGAAAGCTATAATCAGTCAATAGGAAGGCTAGGGGGCAACTGAGAACTGGTGAAACTGAGGTGAAACAGAAGAAAAACATTTTAAATTTTCCTTCATCTTTGGAAACTTGGTTAAAAGCACAATGGGCTGCTGTTAGGAGAAAGGAGAAAATAAGAGCTGACGCTTTGGAAATACTCACGGGTAGGGTTGGTTAGACTCAGCTGTGTCATACTTTTGCCATTTTCTAAGATTTAATGTTTTCTATTCCTGGCCATTTACAATATTCATCTGCTCCTTACTTTTTTTGCTCCTTACTTTAATTTTGCTTTTTGTGTTTGGTGGTCCTCTCAGCTTTAGACCTCAGTTTGCATTTCAGGTGTTTTCTAGGGTGATGTTTTTCAAACTGGATTCTGACTGCCTCTTGAGAATTCCTAGTTGTTCAATATATTCTTAAGAGAGGGAGTACTCAAGTTAATGAAGCTTCTTCAATTGCAAACTACTACTGCAAAAGAAGTTTTATTTTTATAATGTTTTTAAGTTATAAGTAGATATTGGAAGACTATGACTTTGGGACCAGTATTTCTTAAAGTGAGATCTTTGGTGTATGTGGTGGGGTGGGCATGATTCTAAAGTTTCAGAAACCCTTTACTTGTAAACAGCTTTCATTTCCTGTGATTCAACCTGCCCTCTCCTTTTTTCTGACTCTTATCCCTATGTGCTTGGTTTTATAGTGGGTAATCCTCAAAAGTGGGAGGAGTCCTAGAACAATATTGTCAGAGCATCAATGAGACCTGGTGATATTGGCAGCTGGAGCCTAATGGTTATCAGGTAACAGAACATCTTGAGATAGGACAAAGATTGATATAAAATTAGTTCTATGCTATTATCATATATTATCCAAACAGAATAGCTTTAAGTAGATGTTAAAGGGATATTAAAGGTTAAATAAAGATTAAAGAAACCTTAAATTAACTGCTACGGTATTGTTTTTGCAGCCATGGATAGACTGTTATGTAATAGTGGGATAAACCCTAAGTTCTTGCAGGAGTAGAGACTGAGCTCTTGTAGTCAATTGTCTTGAGGCTTCTGAGCAACTGTATTCTAGATGAACTCAAAGATTAAATGTCTGACTCCTGTCTAGGACAAGAGTTTGTTAGGTCTTTCAGTTGGCACGAATAGATTTATCTTCCTTAGTAGGGGCAGGCTTTGGCTATTTCTGACAACTTTGCTATTTGCGGATGAACTTAAAAGATTTTGGAGTTCTGGCTCCAACACTAGTTCTAGATGATCTGGCAAGTTTACTTAACCTTCCCGAGGTTCAGTTTTTACTTCTACAAAAATGGGAATAATAACTACAGGGGACTATTATGAAGATTAACTAGCTGTAAGATCTTGGGTGAGTTACTTAACCTCTCTGTTGCTTCAGTTTCCTCATCTGTAAAATTTGGTTTTGGTACCTACCAAAAGGGCTGTTATGAAGATGAAATAAATGAATACATGTACATTGCTTGCCATGGAAACAGTCTAACATAGTGGCCTAGAAAATGTAGTCTAAACTTACTGCCAACCTTAGAGGTTGTTAATGAGCAGTAGATGTCTGTGTGTTACAAGGGGTACAGGTGTAACTGATTATTATGTTGATTGGTTAGGCTTGGCCCAGACCAAAAAGGCTGTAAGTGCTGAGGAAAAGGTTTTATCCAACAGCCAACGGTGGTTGGAGTGCCCATGTGGGGCCTAGGATGCTGATGTGGTTTTAAGCAAATCTTTTTGGAAACAGGATGAAGAAGATCTTGGGAATATAAATGGAAGATAGGAAAGAGGAAAAAAAATAGCAAGCTCACCACTCTGTAGTTAGGAAAAGTTTTTTCCATTTAATACTAGACTTTCAAGGATTGAGATGCAAGCTTTTTATGCAATTACATCCAATGTTAAAATTGGTAATACATAATTTACAAAGATTAACATCAAAACAATCATCTATTTAGATATGCTTTTGTAAAAAGGAAATATATTAGCAGCATTTATATTTTCCGCAATCACACAGCCTACAGACATGCAGACTAACTCTGTATCTATTTGCAGTGATGTAGTGCTTTGCCCCGCATTTCAAACACCAAAACCCACCTGGCAGCTAGGGGGTTCTTTTGTTATTATAAAATAACCGAAAAATAAAAAAAGGCATTAATTTCTACACCAGTAAGAAAAAACAAGTTTTTGCACTTACCTAACATTTGATTGTCTAAAAAACATTTCAGTTTTTAGTCTTTCAACAAAAGAAAGATAAAATGACAGAGCGTAGTGTCTTTTGCTTCTGTTCTCGCATTTTACAAAGTTTTTTTTTTTATTTTTTCTTTTTTTGAGACTTTTTTAAAATTTTAGTGTTTAACACTATTAAAGGAAATATTGAATTTTAATCTCTTTCTTGTCATTTTCCTGCTTTGACTAAAAGGAGACCCCCAAAGTGCCCCTATTCCCACCTCCCTCCCACCCAGCTCCCTGCAATGAAAACCAAAAGAAACCACTCAATCGGGCTTGGACATGCGATTTTCCCAGCTCCACACGTGAGTATCTTATACCCAGGTCTCTTAGTAATGTACAGTGCTTCTCTACAGTAAGAAAATACTCCAAACTATTTTCTTAATTCTCTTTTTTCTTTAATAAAATATTTATTCTGCTTTTTCTCTGTTCAAGGGGATCTTTGGCATCCCCTGTCTCTTTTACTTTTTTTTTTCCCTCAAGATTGACACAGAAAGGAGAAAAAGAAAAATTCAATGGAATGGAAGGTGGTCAATGTTTCTACCTAAACAAGTCAGAGCGTCGTCATCCTAAGAGGAAATGTACAATTAGGACAGCATTGGTCCAATATTAGAAAAAGTAATGGGGAAATGTTTAACTATTGTATTGCTTACTAATCACGCAGCAGATATATATATATATATATATACATACATATATATATACAACACACAACTTGGCACATTTAAAAAACCATCTTTTCTCTTATAAGAACATCTAAAACATATATGCATATGTATGTCTGAGAAGACAACAAAGCAAAGCTTTTTAAGTTTTATTTTTAAAGAGACAATTTATCTGGTAACACCTGGTCAAGTGAATGGGAAGGAAGGTGACACCCTGGATATCCCTCCTGAAGATGAAGTCATCAGGAAGGTGAAGGAAGATGGGACTAGGGGCAGGGAGGACACACTGTCTCTTTAAGAGATGGACATTGAAAACTGTACAAGTAAAACAAGAAGTAGTGTTTTCAATTGATAATCTACACTCACAACAAATACTCTGATAGGTGAATACTGCTCAACAGTTTATGTAGTGACTTTTGTTGGGGGGTGGTTAGAGTTCATTTTTACGCAGGTTTTAAAATGATTTTTCTTCGAAATGAGTCTCCATTCGCACAGCACAGCAGACACACAAGAACCACAGCGCATAAACAGCACGTGTGCTGGCGGGGGCCTGGCCTTCTAGTTAGAAAAAAAATATGGTCGGCAGGTTATGAAGGTGAAAACAAAAATAATTACAATAAGGACTGTGCCCTTCTGACCCCATGGGGGCCTTCCCTATTCCATGATTCCATTTGGGATAGTAGAGGTAGGGAGGGGGCAGCAGTTACAAGTGCTTTGAGTTGTCAACTCACATTTTACTTTGACCTGGTTGGGGAAAAGAGGCGAGAGAAACTTTTCCTAGTCAGGGATCTCAAACAAGGCCCAGCTACTGTTTGTGTTTTAGGTCTCTAGGGGTAGCTCTTGGAGCCTATAGAGGACAGACAGGGTGGGGTGGGGATCCTGGCCCTGTCCCTTTGGAGTCTGAGTTATACCTGGGTATAGGAAGCAGCTTCTTAGCAGTGCCTGCAAGATCAGAGGATGACACAGAGAAACCCAAGCTGAGGAGAGGGGCAAGTGCTATAAAGTACCAAAAGATTCTGGTCATCC